GCTAGATTGAAGCACTTGAGATTTCTGAAGCCCGAACCACCCTAAATCTTCCTATTACACATTCTATTCCATGCCACCCATTTAATTTTATTTTCGTTACTCCTCTGTCCCCAAATCAAATTTGACATAAGCCCATTAAGCTTCCTGCAAATACCTTAAGGAATCCTAAAGTGGCTCATATAATGAATGGAAGATGGTCGTGAAATTAAATTAAAATTAAATGGGGGCAATGAAAGGAAGCCTAAAATGACCCATTATATATATGAAAGGAAGCCTAAAATGGGGGCAATGGAAGATGGCCAGGACCGGGTTTGGGGTAAAACAGAATCAATTTCCTAGACGGTTCTCGAGCCGAACGGTCCAACCGTCTGTGTCAACGGCGGTTCAAAAACCATTATATATATGTATGTATGTATATATATTATCTATATTTTTATGAAAATACATGTATACATATGATGAAAATAGTTAAAGAAAATACTTGTATTTTTTCTTTATATAAACTATTATTTTTTTAATTTTAAGAAATTAAATCAGATTGGATCATATTCGGATATCCGACATTATTAACAGATTCTAATTTGAATCTATGTTTGTGAGATCCAGGATCTGCAGATTGGATCAACTGTTTATAGTGTTAGATCAAATTTGGGTATACCTATCCGAATCCGAATCCGATCCGTTTGCATCCCTACTAGCCATACCCATCAGCATCACACAAAAACCTACCCATCATTCACTAGTCGCTTGCTAACATTATGTAGTTAGAGCGTGCTAGGGAGCATTTAAGCAAGTTTAGGATGCCTTAAGCCTTTACTCTATTGACAGAGATCTTAAAATTCAAGGAGTTTTCGAAAATCCTCACCACATTGGTGTACACTTGGTTTGTCAATATTGCACCCAATAGCATCCAGTGTTGGGACAATTAAATTGAAAAGTTCCTAACAAAATAGTTTACAGTGGAGAAAAGATTGACAGTGGCATATATGAGGAGTGTTAGATAGCATAATTCAGAAAACTTGGGGGTGTATTATTTGTGTTGAGATTTAGAAAGGAGTCTTAGCAAGTGCATGAGGAGCATGTAAAGGAGAAAGACTCCATTGATGAGTGCATTTGCAGTATGCATCCCAGGTACCACATCTAGTTGAAGAATTTGCACATTCAGGATTTCTCAATGTTTTGGGAGTGTATTAAGTGCAATAATTGCTTAGTGAAGAGACCTTTGGAGCAATAGGGGTGGGGGCAGAGGATGAAAGCTTTTGCTATAGGCTCCTGGAGAGGGAGCTTTTTACAAGGTGGACATCACAATGTATTACGACATCAAGACTATGTGCCAACCTGACTCGGAGTGGTGATTGTTCCATTAAAAATCAACCCATTACAGCCTTCCGTATCTTCCAGCAAAAATCGAGAAGGCCTGGATCCAATCTTGGCCATTTGGCATTCCATGCTGCTTGGCCAGAATCTCAACAAACCAGTTTGCAAAAGAGCCATGGTCTATCCCCTCTGTACACACTGCTAAGTTGCTABCAAACCAGATAGCCTTAGCAAAATCACATTTAAGTAGAACATGAACCACCGATTCCTCCTCCTCTCCACATTGAGGACACAGAGCTGAAATCCTAATCCCTTTCTTAGACAATAATTGGTGGACTGCTAGAGCATTAGAGATAGCTCGCCACATAAAATTTTTAATTTTTTTTTTTTTTTTTTTTTTTCCT